ATATTGAATAATTAAAGCTGCACCAAAAAAAAAAAAGATTCATGGTACACCTTAAAAGAATAAATACTCGACGGTGCAACTCTAAATTTTAAATTCTTTAATGTGCGACTAAAAGGGCTATAACCCCGCACCCCCTCCCTAATACCGGACACTGATCTTAAAAGTCTAATAAGGAGTGTGATTAAGAAGTTGATCTGTAAGTTATTATTGCCTCCCCTCACTATGGATCCGCCTTTGTATTAGCATATTTATTCATGGGAGGGAATAATAAAGATTGATAGAGCTGTGATAAATTTTATTTTAACTTTTGCTCTCAATTATGTCTACATCAAATAATGTTTTAATTTTTTTGGTTTTTCTACTACTATTAAGAAAAAATTAATTAAATAATAATAAAAGTGAAAAATATTGAGAATTGGATGATCGACCTTCACTTGAAATAATTTCGACTGCATGTTTTTGTCTACATAGCAGTTTTTTAATCTTGTTAACATTAGAGCTGTACCAAGCGATATTAACACTGTTTATGTAACAATGCGCGAGAAAGAAATACAGGATTTTCAAACAATTTTAATGTATTATTTATTTGGTTTTGGATAATATGCAAATACTTTTTTAAAATTCTATCTTCTGTTTTACTTGTATGTTCTCTCTACGTAATATTTTCGTTAAGAGTCACACTTAGAAATTTCAATTAGAGGCAGTGCCGGTTTAACCCATGGACACAATGGACACGTGCCTGTAGGCCACGGAATTCAAGGGACCAGAACATTTAAATGAGTATTCGAAAGATATAAATTTTGAAAGAAAAAATATTTTTGGTCTTTTTTTCCTTGACTTCCAAGAAATTTTTAATCATGTCCAAGAAATTTTTAATCTTTGCAATAACTGAGCATACGACATATCGCAAACTGGACATTTTTGTTTAACGACTTGAAAGAACTTTCGAGTTCAAACATAATGGTGAAAAAGAAAACTCTGTTTTATTCTACGTTATGTTTTACAAAACGGAGAACCAGTTTAGTAGTTCTTAAAAGTCATTTTCATGTACAATCATTTCGCAGTTTTTATGCTTGAAATCGTTTTAAAAAAGTTAAATTTGTATGGTATCAACATTAAAAATTGCCGTGGCCAGTCAAACTAAAATTCCAGTAGTATGTCTGGAATCTACTTTGGTTTACAAGCAAGAATTAAAGAGATTAACGTTCTTCTATATGCTGTTCACTTTTTGAACCTCTTTGGAGTGAGTGCCGCGGAAACCAACGAAGCTGCGGTTAATTTAAAATTACAATGACAACTTTTACATTACACAAAAAACATATACAAAACAGACAGGGGCTCAAAGAAGATAAGGATGACTGATGTCACCACAATCTTTTGATAGAGCCTCTTTACAATATCATTTAAAGCCCACATGGCTTTAGAAAAATTATAACAAATATTTTATCTGTTAAATACTACGTGAAGAATAAAGAAAAACTCATATATACATATATACTCATACACCCATAAAAAAACACACATTTACAAACATACATACTTACATATATGTCAGAAATTATAGAGATGCAGTTTCATTTGTCATTTAAAAGAGAAAGTGCTTTTCAAATATTATATATTGTTATTTTTTAATTGATTCCATAATGACGGGCCTTGGCTAATAATTGAGAATTTCGACACTTGCGATTTTACTATGCTCAAGTGATAGTTATGGTTGTTATTTGACCGAAGATTGTATTTTTGTGAAAATGCTGCAGTAAAAAGTATCAGAAAACACTTTTGGCAGCAAGTTATTTTTATATTTATACATAAATATTAATATTTGAAGCGAATTAAGCTTTGATATACTTAAAAAATTCATGTATTTCATTACAGGGGAAGGGTTTTCTAATCTCTTTAAATACTAAGGGGTCAACAGGGGCCAGAAGGTCTAAAGAACCGGAAGACCAAGAAGTACCTTACCCGGCTCTGATTAGAGCATTCCATTTATGTTAGAGTTGCTAATGTAAAATTCAAAATTTTAATGTATTGTATTATCTCTCGTAAAGATTATACAAAAAATATACTTTGTTTTAAGTTTATTTATTTGTAGTTTATTTGCATTAAAATATTCCGTTAAATACTTTTTGTTAACTATTTTAAATAAAAGGTTGCAGGTGACACTAAATAATTTTATTATTTAGATGTATTAGAACAAAATAAATTCGTGTCACAGTAGCATAAAGTTTAAAATGTTTGTAAACTTTATGCTATTGAAATGTAAGTGGACCTAGAATTAAACGTAGTTATGCAAAAAGCATCCAGCCACAAAAAACTCAAAGTGAGATAAAAGCACTTTTGCCTAAATGATGAATAATTAAATCTATACTACACAAATTTTTTGTGAGACAATTATTGTCAATTTTTGTATAAAAGTTGCTTGGCTAGTTTTAATAGAGCAGAAAAATTGACCTGTCTCCGTCAGTAAACGTCAATAATTTTATCTGACCGAAATTGTGGACTGGCTGTTTTCTGCATAACTACGTTTAATTGATTTTACGGGAACACCGCAAGTTATAGTTAAGTTAGTTTTATTTCGTCAATATACACACATTTTACAATAGCAAATTTATAGAAGTCAAATTGTTTCATCATCAACCCCCTTCATGAAAAAGAGAAAAGTATAATTTTACAAGTTCAAATATTATACAAAAAGTGAAACTAAAAAGTTTGAAAAAATAGTCAAGTGTCTTATATTTTCTAGAATTAATTTCTGGATAGTTCTCTCTTTAAAAAAATGATTTTTATTAACTTGAGAAAAATTATAACCTCCTCAACTTAAGGAAAAATCCTAAAATTGCTAAAATATGCCAAAATGAAAATAACTGTAACATTTTTCCACAAGTCTTTACAGATAAGTTTTCTGATTAGCTACTACTGTCTGCAATAAATGTGCAAAATATAGGCAGCTTGTTGCCGTTCAGAAGTCAAATATATCTAAAAGCAAAATGTCCATTTTTCTAAAAATTCCAATATTCAGCCATTTTAAGATGTTTTAAAATTTTTTTAACACTTTGTTTTAGTCTAAGATTAACAGCATACAAGATCATTATACCCGACTATCTGAAAATGCAAACATTATAAACTTGTCAAATTCACACCAAAAATGCCAAAATTTTTAAATAATCTTATTTTTTAATTATCAACAGTTGAATTTATTATTAGAAACTAGTGCCACTCTAATCTGCCTACTCGCTTATGCGAGGAGTGTAACTAATTACAAGTTATTTCTTAATAAAAAGAAAGATATGGTTGGTTGCCCTCTCTTTGATCTGGTCTTTATAGAAGATAAGTGCACACAAAAAAGAACAGTAACTTTTTAGAGACCTTCATTAAGGTTCAAGTGAATGTTTCTAAATTAATTTAAATATTTAGATTCGTAATACTTAAATATCTAAATTAAATTGAAAGCGTTATTTCTTCAAACTTTATTTTATCTTTGGTGGTCAGTTGTCTATATGTGGTTTGGTAAGTTTTTGTAGTAATATTATTTTTAATGAAAAACCGTGAATTTGTCTAAATTTCTAGATAAGAATTTAGTTAATAAGTGTCTAGATAAGAGTCCATAGTATGTTTGCCGGATTTACAAAAAAGTTTTTTTCTATATCCCAATAGCTCAGTTTAAAACTCGCAATATTAAAATTATTAAATTTTGTATCATTTTAAATACACAGCCTGTTACGCCTGATTTACCTGCCTTTATTTCAAACAGCATGCTGAGTTAAATATTTGAAAAAACAAAAAAAAATTGTTTTTAAAAAATTCTAAGGAGGGAGGCCTTTTCCTCCATCATTCCTTACCCCCACTCCCTATGGATCCACTGCATCCAGCTTCTACTCTTTTTACATCGAGATCCACTGCATCCAGCTTCTACTCTTTTACGTAGCTAGCTCATCAAAAAGCACATCTATAAACATATGCTAACATTTAGTTTACTGGTAACCTATAAATAGGCAAACATGAAAACCAAACAATCCAGTGACGAATGGGAAATGCATCCTCCCTCCCCTTACTCCTACCACCAAATATTCCTGGATTCGTCACTGAAACAATTATATTATTTATTGTTGTCAGTTAATTATCTATCGTATCTTTACTATTATCTTAATTTTAAAATAATACACTTTTTATTTTAAATGCAATTTTTAAAGAAAATTTTATGACCTGACTTTCTCAAGTATTTTTGTTTTAGACTTTAATTTTTAATGCGATAGCTGTAAAAACATATAACTTATTTTACCGTAAGTTTTTTTACTTGCATAATTAATTTAGATTGCTTGATATTAAAAAGCTCATAATAACGTTTGAGAGTTGTAAAAAATCGCTAGAACCGATAGATCTATAAAAATAACGATTGAGTTATTCAGGATGATTGTTGAGTTTTTTAAAAAAATTAAAATTAGGCATCTATTTGATTATTTATGCTGTAGTTTATTTAGTGGTTTTTTATTTATTTTATTATACATTTTTTATATTTATATTATTTAAAATTTACCTATTTAAATTTGTATGAATGAGGTGTCCTTTTGCCTAATTATTGTTTAATTAGCCGTTAAAACTATGAACTTTATTAGGTGGTTTTGGTAGAAGTCAGCTGAAGACATAGTTAAATATATTTTTAAGGCTGGTGTTGTCTAAAAATTCTGGGGCAACTCCATGATACCAAATCTTATTCACAAAGGAGTTTTAAAAATGGTTCTTTTATAAAACCATTTTTAAAACTCCTTTGTGAATAATTTAGTCACACGGCATGAATAGCGTTGATAGAATTTCTGATTGAGAAATAAGTTTTTGATGAAATTGCAAAGAATGAGTTCTATCATTAAAATATCTTTTTTATGAAACCTTTTTTTACATTTAAATAGATATTAAATATTGAATTTCAAATAAATATTTAAACTTTTATTCATACTTTGTGTTGCAATCATAAAATATTTTAACCATATATTGTGTAATCCATATCTCTATGTTTCAATGAAACTGTTAAAGTTATATAAAACCTTATCTGCCTTAAAGTTACTTGAAACGTAGACATAGTTGGAAAGTAAACATACCAGAAGCAAAAATCATGCAAAAACTATCATTTATCGTGTTCATTATTTTGATAAACAATATGATTGTTACGTCAGGTATACTTATTTCTTTGTGTCCACATTTTTGTAATGTTCACACACAATGGAAGCTCGGCATATTTTAAACTGAGCATATTAGAAAAATACTTAATAACATTATGACATTATTTTAGTGCATAAACTATTGAATTTAAACATTTTCTACTTTTAACTTTTTCTGTCTAGACAGGTACCTATTAAGATATTTTTTAGCTTAACTAAGATAGAACGAGACCAAAGAAAGTCTTTAAACTAAACAAGAAAACTTAAGCGATATAAATTTTATTTTAAATTCAACGCAAAACATTTGGCATTTTTTTAAAACCCAGTTTAAAACTTGACTCAAATTAAAACTTTAGTTTTAACTTATTTGGAGGAAACGTACATTTTACCGTGACTTCAACAAAAGTGTTATATGCATATAAAGAAAAAAGAAAAAACAACAGGTAAAACAACAATAAAAAAACAAATTTAATTTTTTGTAATGCATCACTTTAAATTAACATAAGGGATCGTCCATAAATAACGTAACGCTAAGTTAAACGAATAGACAAGCTCAAAAGTTTTCTCACGGTGAATCTTTAAATAAACCAAAAATAAAAATAGCTCTTTAATATATTTTTTCTCTTTACAACCCGGTAAGTGAAATTGCAGGTAAAATACACCATATTAAAGTTGCTTTATAAAATTACGACCAGTAAAACAACACGGCTTTCAAAGTTGTTAGCCTTAAGTACTACCCAACCGGCATTTGGTCCTAAAAAGACATCTTCTAAACGCTCAAAAGACGTTCTGAACGTCATTTGAACATTCAAGAGGTCTTTTTAGTACCAGATGCCGGCTGGGTAGCTGCTAGATAGATGAAGATAAAGATCTCTGTTTAATATATAAAAAAATAATATATAAATATATAAATATATACAATATATAAAAAAAATAAAATAAAAATAAAATAAATAAATAAAAATAAAATAAATACAAATAAAATAAATACAAATAAAAAATAAGATGTAGAGTTTGATATTTACTAAGAAACAATTATTTTTTTGATATAATATTTTTATTTTTTATTGAAGGTAACTCGAAGAAATATAACGACTTTACATTTTTAAATTTTTTGCTTTTTGAAAAGTGACCGTTTTTTAGTCAGCAAAATGCTATTTCATATTCAAAAAACTTCGTATTAATTCATGTGGATTTATAAGTATTTTATCAGTTTAGTCTTATAAAATTTTCTTCACATTTTGATAAGTTTTGTTAAGTATTTTTGGAATGATACATTTATTGTATTTACACAAAAATTTGAGTGTCGGCAAATATTGATTTCATATATTTATCATTGGTCTGTAAATAATGATTTTGCAAGTTTATATATATATTTTTTCGTCTTCAGTTATGTCGATATGCATAGTTTTATAGAGAAAATATTTTATTAAGTTTTGCTGGCTGTGCAATATTGTTGCCTATTAATTGCTGAAATAGTTATTAAAACTATGTAGAAGCCAAAATATATTAGTTTCAGATTTTGTGAAATTGACAGATTTGGTACATCAAAATAATTTCTTTTTGTTAATTTATGCCGAGAATCTGTAATAAATTTTCATTAATAATAACTTAAAACACTAAAAACCTCAAAACAAAATATTTAAGCGCAAAATCTGTCAGACAAGTGAATGTTACACAAAATAAAAAAAGAAAAAAAGAAAATCTTGGGGAGCTAGTTATAAATTTACATATTTAAGGGAAGGGTATGTTGTATGTTGGATCATTTATATATACTTTTTTTACTTTTTTTTTTTTTCAGACGCGCGATCTATAGAAAACAAAACAAACACTGAGTATAACACTGATCTTTCAAAAATATCCGGTGAGTAAAAAATATTGATTTCAATTTGTTATGTGCTTTTAATTCAGATTTGGAGGCTTGGCCCTATTTTTAATGCTATAAAAGGATAAAAATTTGAACATTTTAATGATTTCTTATTACAATTTTATGTTTTTTATTCCTAATTTATTGTTTATTTTGAACTTTTCTTTTAAGTTTGCATTAATGAATACGAATGGACGTGTCCGGAATCTTCAAAGTGCGTTTCAAAAAACGATTGCAGTTCGTACGAAGAATGCACTTTACTCAACTGTGGTAAATATTGCATATTTAATTATAAAACCTTATTAATGACACCATACTGAAAGTAGCCATTTGCGGAGACTTCAATACATACGCTGACCAAGAGTTTGGGAGGCATCTACGTATAAATGAAATTATTATCAAATTATAATTTTTTTATTTTGCTGCTTTTTCTTTTTCGTTTGAAAAGATGCCAAAGATAAAGATGTTATTTAAAAACTAGTATGAGTCGAATAAGTTGGCTATGCTACCTACTGCTAGTATAGCGAATATGCTATAGCATACCGGCTATACGATTATAGTATTATACTTTAGTATAACAATATTGTAGTATAATACAATTATAGCATTATTATAGTATAATAGTACAGTATACTAGTACAGTATAGCATACTGCTTGCCAATGCTCAAACTGTTGGTTGATGTATAAAATATCTTCTGTTTTTCGTTTTCTGATTTTAAAAGTTTGTTTAAATATTTTTGTAGTTGTTCCTCCGGAACCAGCAAACATAAAAGTTAGTAACATCACATACACCAGTGCAACAATCACATGGAACAAGGATTCGCACGTTTTAGAATACAAAATTATTTGCGATTCAAACATATTTGGTACAATGCAATATTCAACTTCGGAAGGGTCTCTAACAATAACCGAGCTGCAGCAAGATACAGAATATGTTTTTACAATTTATTCCGTAAACAGGGTTGGGTTGAGCGATCCAATTCTGCTAAGTATAATAACAAAAAAAAGTGGTAAGTATAATAACAAAAAAAAGTGGTATGCAACTTTTTTTTTCAAGTTTAGCTGTTAAAGAGTTTAAACACTAAAAAAATACAAATAAAAAAATAAAAACTGAGCTTATAACAAATCTTAGTGGTTTACATAAACACAACAAGATACAAATGTTAGATTTTTCATTTTTGAGGAGAAATTTGACTAAATTTGTCAACCAAATGTAAGCTAAACAAAATGAAAAAAGTGAAAAAAAAAAACATCTTAAGAAGGAAGTAGTAAATTTTTAAAGTATAAGTGTTTTATTGAAATGTTACTCACATAAATAAGAACTGGATGAAATTTTGCCACAACATTTTGACAAACTAAGAAAAGGATGAAATTTTGCCACAACATTTTGACAAACTTATTTTAGTTTTTATAAATTGGTATTTGTATATATATATATATATATATATATATATATATATATATATATATATATATATATATATATATATATATACATATATACTTATATAAGATTTAATTTTAAAAACAATTTTTGAATATAAGGTTTTGCTATAGTACTTTTAAAACTTTTACAGATCCCCCTACAAATGTGAACAACATGTTAGTAAGTGAAGACACAATAGAAAACCATCTACAGCTTAAGGTTAAATGGGATCCTCCAGCAGAACAGCCTCAGGATATTATGTTAAAATATCAAATTGAATGCTGCATCTACAATGAATCCCTTACACCATTATGTGCAACTGCGATGTCTATAAACACAACTTTTTTAATTAATTATGTTCTAAAACCTTTACATTATGCGACAATCAGTGTTACTCCCTTAAATGAACTTGGACAGTTTGGACCAACTACAGTAACATTTTATCGTCCTAGGAGTTACGGTAATTAAATTTTTAATAATATTTTTACTATTTTTGTTTATAAAGATGAAAACATATTATAAAAACAACTAATAATTAAAATTAACTATTAAACTATTGCGAACTATAAAAAAAGATTTTATTAGTTCGCAGGTCTCTTAAAAATTTAGAGTTTTACACTAAGAGCTTTATAAGGCAACATGAAAAAAAAATTAATTATGTATGAATATATATGATTATATATTCATAGATAGTTTATTTTTTCTCTCGTTTGCTTTAAATGCCTTCTTGAAATTTACTCTTTTCACGTTGCGAAGAGTAAACTGCACATGCTCACGTGATTATTTTTTCGTTCCCTTTCCCTTTCCCGTCGAAAAACGGATGAGTGGAAACTCACCTTAAGCAAGGTTAGAGTTAGATTAAAGTTTTAACATTATTTAATTTTACCTTTTAGCCACCGTAGTTTACATTACTGCTATCTAAATAACCTTTTCGGTGTCATGCTGTTATATATAAATAATAATAAATAAAAAATAAATCATTGCCGCCAATTTTTGATAGTGCACTAATACACTGTCAATTATAAAGTTTTTAATCCTTACATCGCGGTGAGATAATTTAGAAATTTTATATATTTGAAATAGTTGAAAATAATTTAGAAATTTTGTACATATAAATTATTTACAAATTTAATACCTACAAATTAATTCACAACCGCGTACTTATAGATTACTCAAGCAAAACATTTAGTTTAAATTACAACTTTTTTAGTTGATTAAACTTTTTTTTTCAGATATATCAAACGCAGCTGGCCACAGTCAAATAGGTATTGGCGGGTTTTGCTTTATTATCGCAATTAATTTAGTTTGGTCAATTTGTAAAGAAGTTTGATTGAGAATTTAGCTTTTTAAAGGCAACTTTAGTCTGTTTAAAGATTTATAAGAAACTGTGTTTCTATTGATGTACTTCTGACAGCTTCACCTCAAATACGAACAAGTTTGTGATTCACGCGTGGTTGGTTGATTATGTACTACAATTAGACACTTTCAATTTTGTAATAAGATATATTTTTGTGTTTAACATTTTTTACCAGTTATATATTCTGTTGGTTCTACTGATAGTAAATATAACTATTTTAATAGTATATATAAATATTTTGGTCTATCACGAGTTGTTTATGCTAATAAAACTCTTTGTTTAACGAACATTAAAAAAGGTCACTGTATAGTAGGGTGGCTCATAAATCAACATTTTTTGAAAATGTCTAATTATACCCCCTTAATGTGTTCTATGTAATAAATTTAGACAAAATTTAAAAAAGAAACTGAGTTTCTAACGATGTACTTCTGACAGCTTCACCTCAAATACGAGCAAGTATGTGATTCACGCATGTTGGTTGATTATGTACTACAATTAGATATTTTCAATTTTGTAATAAGATATATTTTTGTGTCCTAATATATATATCATGTTGGGTCTCAAAAAAAGTGAAATTTTATAAAAATTTAAAAAATGATAATCATTTTATATAAAGTTTACTAGTTTAAATTTTATGAGTTAAAAACTATCGTTATTTAACAATAAATAAAAAAGTACATATTTACATAGTTTTCTTAAATAAACTTTTTAAATTTGTGTTACCAGAAATTTTTTTTTATTATTTTTGAAGTTTATATAAAAATTCATTTCTTTTAAGACCCAACATGGTATGCTTTTAAAGAACTTTTTTTTCAAAATATTAGGGACCCGTCTGATGTTTAAGGGGCTTGAGCAGCCCCTAAAAAATTTTTTAATTTAGTATTTACTTATTACATAGAACACATTTAGGGAGTACCATCAGACATTTTCAAAAAATTTTGTTTTATGAGCCACCCTACAGTACAATAAAGCAAGTTAAGCGTGATACTACCAGAAAAATAGTGGGATTCTTATTCCGTGAAACGAGTAGCCGCAATCACGACTTGTTGTATATTTTTATAATAATATTTTTTTCTATTTCATAGAAATTTGTCAAACAAATAAACTTTACGTTGGACAGTCTTCGCACGTTATAACCTAACGTTCCCCAAGTGATATGATGTATAATTTTTCACTACTCTTTTTTTTTACTTTTTTAAATGACATCTTGCTTTTTGTTACGTATTATTAAATGAACAGAGTATAATAACAAATATACATGTTATAACAAATACCGTTAGCGTTTTGGCGTTTTTTGAAAATCTTTATTATTTTAAATTGAAATTAAAACCAAAAAAATAAGATAAATAAACAAGCTGATTTAGAATAAAGTTAAGTTTATAGTTCGATAATAACATATGCAGCTGGTTGTTAATAACAAATTATGCGTTTTATAGTTTATATCATCATTGAGTGATGCCTTGATTGCCAATGGTGCTTCATGCCATAATCTCAAATAGACTAGACTAACAAACTAGCCAGCTCTTTCACATTGTGTTTTTCGGTTTTGGTCAGGTTGAGCTGTTTTTTAGAACAAATATATTTTAACACTGTAGATTGCTTTTGACAGCCATTGAGCATGGTGGAATGTGCTTGGTGCACAAAAGGAAACTTTAGTTTTATCACCAGTCTCTGCACAGTCCAGAAAGTCCAAGCACAGTTTTGAAAATTCCTCGTAACCATCTCTTGGCTGTGATTCATTTAAAGTTACCTTGCAAAATGTGTTTATTTCTTCACGAAGACCCAAAGAATGCGCATCAAACATATCATCAGAGGCTACATCGTAAATAGTTTGGTCAATAGATGACCAAATTTTCTGAAACCTTTTAAACATAGCAACATCAGGTTCTCCAATGGGTCAAAATAAAGCCCTAAAAGCACTAACAAGAACAAGCTCTAAAACATAATGCCGACAGGCAATTTAGAGTTGTAAAACAGGCTTGACTTTGCTCATTGCCAGTTTCACGACATATTTTTGCTAGTACAAGTAGAACCTCTTTACCGCCACCTATAAAAAAATGCAAAAACTACAATTCTATCAACGTTTTCTTGTTCCCAGAAATAACAGGTAACAACTTGCTATCCCAGTGTTGCAGTACTGAAACGTTGTCGACTTTACTATCCATGTTTGCAGCAGACGTTTGCTTACGCTACTTGCAGCGTGAACGTTGAATAGAGTTTCTTGAAAAAGTCATAGTATTGACGTCATGTCCCAAAGCTACTGTAACTGCTCCAACAATATATGTTGCACCTCTGTCGGGTATATTAACTCTGTCCAGAACTTCAGCAACGTTTGGATCTGCAAGTATTTTGACTTTGGCTTGTTTTGGATAAAGTTTTAAAGAAGGACTACCAGGTTAAAACTCGGTATGCAAACTGAAAGAGCTATTACAAAAAGATGTCAAGATACTGGATTGAAGTTCTGACACTTTAGTTGTTTCAACATATTCCACTGAATTGCTAGAAATATCAGAATTTGAAAGAGATAAGGGGCATAGAGCTACTCGCTGGAAAAGTTGACACAGCTGAGTCCATGAAGTGATCACTGTAGCATGCCATTCTTTTTGATGAAAAAAGTTTTGAATCATTCTTCTTAACCACGTTTCCTCTCCTCCTTCTATCCAGTAAAGTATCAATACCAACCATACTGTAGGACGAGACATCATTTCTTTGTATGATAAAAAACCGTCTGTCTTTGTCAATCTTTATTGTTGTCCACGCGCCACTAGTGGCAACATAAAAAAGGGGTCACTGAATGCTTCTTGGTTTTACTGATCTTCTCAGTTTTTTATAGTCGTTATAGAGTTTAATCAAGATTCGAACTCCGAAATCAATTCTTGTGGTGTGGAATGCCTTACTGCCTAATTTCATTAAATTTTGGAATTGCCGTAGTGTTTATATATATATATATATATATATATATATATATATATATATATATATATATATATATATATATATATATATATATATATATATATATATATATATATATATATATATATATATATATAAATTAGTAGCAAATCGCTTAACAAAATTTTTTTTCATTTTACACTGTGTTTCATCAACAAAGACTCATCAGAAATGAATGATCAAATTCAATTTATACCGAAAAATTAAATTACAGGAAGTCGCAAATGTTTTAACTACTGTAAATTTTCACACATTTGTGGAATTTGCTGACACTATTATAAAAAGAATTCTTCAAAAATGATTACTTGTGCTTTTTTTTTTTATAAAAATATTTTTAAAAAAGGGGGGATTTAATGTAACTATTATTTGAGCTCACTTATTTTTATAGTTTTTTAGGAGAAACTTATTTTCGTGTCTGCATTTAGAAATCAAGTCCGATTTTTTGTTTAACAAACATTCTTGGTTTGCATGTGTAATTATTTGAAATTTTTCTTGTAGACAGTATGCATTTTTTGGAAATATTGTTGTATGCAGGCGCTGTTTTAAGGATGGATGAAACACAGTGTAAAATGAAAAAAATTTTTGTTAAGTGATTTTCTACTAATTTGTAATTGCTCAGTTCTTTTAAAGGGATCCCTAAGTGCTCCTAACATATGATCTCATATGAAAAAGCATAAAAAAAAAATATGTAAGTTTTTTTTCTTTTTTCACTAAATTGTAATAATAAATGCATGCTAACAAAAAGCAATTGCCGAAATCACTGAAAAACAACTCCATTTTGATTTTATTTTTTCACCATTGAAACTCGATTGTTAGTCGTTAAAAATCACGTTACTACGTCACAACAACTTTAAAATATCTACTTCGATTTTCAAGTAAAAAAAAGTCGTGATTAAATAGTTAAGTTTTATTAATTAGTTTTGCAAAAACAGTATAATATCATTCGGTTGAAAGACGTCGTTAAAAAAAAGTTATTAAGTAATAGTTTTTAATAGTTTAGAACTTATAAAAAAGTCTTACAGGGCTCGTATTAAGCGTATCGCGATCGCGATTGCTTTTCACACTTTTGTGATTAGTTTTTTCTTAAAAAAAATCTTTTCGCGATTTTTTTTTTTTTTTTTGGTTGTTTAATTACTTTTTTTCTAGCTTAGCATTTTTTTTAGCAATCCCTAAAAGTAATGTTTTTATCATAAAGAACGTCACACAAAATTTATTATTCTGAATAGATAGATTTGCTCTTTCGCGCGGAGATTTTTTTTCAACGTTAAACATTTTTGAATCTAAATTACTTTAAATCTCTGCGTGGAAAATTTTTACAAGGTCGTTAAAGCGAAAAGTTGAAAAGTTGGTTTTTATCTTTGTTTATCAAAACTTCATGTTTAAAATAAGGCTTAAAAACGTTAGAGCAAAAAAAAATACTGACTTTTATTTGCATTTTTATACTGTTTGAAAAAAAAAAATAATAAAAAAGAATTAATTGTTATTATTATTAATTCTAATAATTATTAATATTATTAATTAATAAATTATTAATTAATTGTTATTATTATTAATTCTAATATATTATTAGTTAATTCTTTTTTATTATTTTTTTTTTTCAAACAGTATAAAAATGCTAATAAAAACCAGCAATTTTTTTTACTTTAGCCTTATTTTAAACGTGAAGTATATTTTGATTTATTTAACCAAATTTTTTTGTTTCATCTTTTATTGGAAAACTTGAAATAGAAAAATTGAAAAAAACTTAATTATATTTAAACCTTTATTAGTCCTTTATTCAAGAAAAAATAAATTATAAAAAACGTGGTATATAATTTTTTATTAAGTTTTTGACGATGTTTTTTGATTTGTTGACGATAATTCTCCCCCCCCCCCATTCACGCACATCGGCGCGACCTATAAGAGAGAGAGGGGGGGGGGGAGAGAGCAAAAAAAAAATTTTTTATCGCGATTAGATTTTTTTTTGCGTTAATTCGAGCCCTGTCTTAATTTCTAATAAAATGTCTATTCAACCTTATTAATTTGAACCAAAAAAAATATAGCAAAATTAACATAAATGTTAATTTAAGTAAAACATTTTACAATAATAATTTTTTTTATCAAGCAAAAATGAGAGTAACCGTCACTTTTGAAACCATAAAAATGACTGAAATAAATTTATTTTTGTACTAAGGAAATATTTTAAATAAACTTTTATGTGTCTAAATCAATATTCATTTGTTAAAAACTGACTGAAAAGAGTTTAAAATTTGACTTCTATTCATTTTTGGCCGTGGAATTGCCCTTAAAACACAAATATATAAATTAAAATTATAAAAAAAATTTTAATATACAAATATATTTTCACAAAATGCTACAAAACTTATTCTTGTAAGTAATTGTGTTAGTTGAAAAAAAAACGACTTTTAAATTTAATTACCAACTAATAAAATTGCAATAATGACATTTTGTCTACTTTGTTTATTTTGACGTACAAACGTTAGTTTTTTGAGGCAGTAGAGTCAATAAACTTTGGACAAGACGCATTTTTTTTTAATTGAAGAAAAGCGTTTTTTTGAAAATTAAATTTGTTAGTGTGTGTTCATTATTACGTTTTAGAAAAAATAATATACATCAAACATTTTTTTTTTAATGCTCTTTCATATGAGATCATATCTTTATAGCACTTAGGGATCCCTTTAAGAACATTGAGCACTCTATATATATATATATATATATATATATATATATATATATATATATATATATATATATATATATATATATATATATACCTATATATATATATAAATATATACATATATATATATATATATATATATATATATATATATATATATATATATATATATATATATATATATATATATATATATATATATATATATATATATATATATATATATATATATATATATATATATATATATATATATATATATATATATATATATATATATATATATATATATATATATTAGTATTGTTACTAAGTTTAATAAATAATTTCCTTTTATTCTGACTCGTTTAGTTTTAGATATATTGACGCATTTAGTGTGAACTATTTTTAACCTTATTGAATTCTGCTTTGGATTTTGACGCAAATTAAAATTGAAATTTAATGGCACTCTTGGTAATATGATCTAAAAATAGACTTGTTAACACAGTGTAAACTAAAATAAAGCTTTGAAAAAAAGTGATACATTAAATGTGGTATTTGGATTTGATTTATATTTGGATGAAACACAGTGTAAAATGAAAAAAATTTTTGTTAAGTGATTTTCTACTAATTTGTAATTGCTCAGTTCTTTTAAGAACATTGAGCACTCTATTTTGTAGAATACATTTTTTTAAAAATTGTTTAAATATATATATATATATATATATATATATATATATATATATATATATATATATATATATATATATATATATATATATATATATATATATATATATATATATATATATATATATATATATATATATATTAGTATTGTGACTAAGTTTAATAAATAATTTCCTTTTATTCTGACTCGTTTAGTTTTAGATATATTGACGCATTTAGTGTGAACTATTTTTAACCTTATTGAATTCTGCTTTGGATTTTGACGCAAATTAAAATTGAAATTTAATGGCACTCTTGGTAATATGATCTAAAAATAGACTTGTTAATTAGTTGTATAACCTAAATAAAAACAGTTTTTATAAAGATTTTATAAGAGCATTGATAACAAACTATTACGGTTAATACAGGTAAAAAATTATTACTGTATAAATTCAATATTAGATAAAATAAAGGCAAAAGTGTATATATATATATATATATATATATATATATATATATATATATATATATATATATATATATATATATATATATATATATATATATATATATATTCATTTAAGTAATATATTTATAATGCATCTTATTAAATATATAGGCAATAAGATAATGTGTGAATAAAAAAATAAAAAATGTTAATTAAAATAGTTTGTTCTAGACAAAATTTCAGATAGAAATACCGGAATCAAACAACAATGGAGACTGTTGCTGAGCGTTTCATTTTTGAATACGAAAAAGAACCAATTGAAATGAATTTTGTGGAACTGCTAAACTCCTTTTATCAAAATCAAGATACAGCGATAGTAAAATTGCCAATAAAAACAACTGAAAACAAAACTGAGCTGGTTGCAGAACTAACAAAGCGCATCTTTGAAAACTTTTACAACAATCCATATTTTAAAGAAGAGTTGTCACTGGTCCTTCTTAAAAAGAGCTATTTAGAGCCACTGTATACTCTAACAAAACAATGTCTAAACAAACAACTCTTCGATCCTAACAACGAGCAAATGTTAAATAACGTTGTCGCAAGACAAATATTTGTCTTGCATTTTAGCAAGTGTAACTTCAAATCGAAACATTTCCTTATGTTTCTGAAGTCATTTAATTCAATTAGTATTATATGCAACATAGAAAATATATTTGGATTTGATGTTAAGCAATTCTGCCAGAGTTTATTGACTAATGAAAATTTAAAGAAAATTCTCCATAACACTATCAGACTTGTTACCAACAAAGAATGCAGATATGATTGTGCCAAAACGGAACTAGTTTTCTTTACGACTACGGATTTAAACGGTGTTAACGGTTATGCAGGTAACAACACAATATATTTATCGCATACTTCACTGCTTCAATTTTATTACGTCACAAAGCAAAACGTTACTGTTTTCAAGCTAAACCTTCTTCGTCTAGTTCAACATGAGATATGCCACGTAGCGCTGCGACACCAGTTTTGTAATTTGAATTTATCAACTCCCGAATTCAAAGAAACAATAAACTCAAATTTTGCAACTGGAAAAAATTACTGCCTTGAAGCAGGTTTAATTGGTGAATGTCTTTTGTTTGCTGGACGGATCGATTTGAGTTGTCCAAACTTAAATATGGCATACTGCCAAAAATTTCTTCAAGACTTTCTTCAAGGAGCGTATTCTCCATTTGATCCAACTAAAGCTAACGCAAAGATTATCGATAAACCGTGCTTTGAAATGGCAATCGATTTTTCACCTGAAGATGAAATAGAATTTATGTAATGAATGTAATGAAAAAAAAATGTAATGAAACTTTTTTCTTTTTCTTGTCGAAATTTGTATAGTTTATTGTCGTATACTTTATAAAGTTATTCTTATTGTCGTATACATTATCAATTTGCTATTGACTTGAGAGAAAAAAAATGTCAACCTGTTTCTAATTCAACTTCATAAACAAAAGAAATCATTGAGTTCACTTTTATTAAAAAAAATTTATTATTAACTTTATTAATAGTAATATATTATACTCTAAGTTATAATTTGAATAATAATTTAATTGATAATAATTAGATAAAGCAACATAACTTTTTCTCTCTATTCGGTATTTAAAATGCATTTTGTATCTAATTACAATAAAATGTAGCATTGTGTTTGAATATAAATTGTTGAACAACATTGTTGTATTCGTATTGTAGTAGTTGTAGACAGTTAAAATATGATTACTCTCAAAATTTGAGAGATTTCGGATGAAGAATCGCTTGCGGATTTAATTTTTAAGATTTGTTGGATTATGTAAAAAAAACACCTTAAAAAGCATTATATGCAAAGCTTGACGTTTTAAATGTTTTTTAATACTATTTGCTTTGCTGTATGATTTAAGTTTATAATAGTTTATAACAATTAAGCTAAATTTATAGCAACTTGTTAACTATTTGAAGATTTAAATAGTGAAACTTTTATTCTTATATTTACATAAGAATATCAAAATAAACATTGTTTTCACAAATTAAAACATTTTGGCTATGGATATATATATTTTAGGAAAATATTTTCAATTAAAAAATATCATCATAAGAATAGGAATAATGCCCTTTTGAAATATACGGTTTACGCATCTTCCTGCTAAGTAGTTTAGTTAAAATGCAGCTGTGTATATTCTCGAATCCATAAACATATTGGGATGCGTTCGACACAAGTTTTACCGCTCGCTCAACACTCTGGGAGTGAGATAGAAAGTCGGGGATTTCAGGTTTAACATTATTGTCAATCGCATATTGGATTTCCTCAATTGAAAAATGTTGTGCTGTTGGGAGCTCCGTAAATTTAGTAATGTTGATATCTACCAACTCATACCAATGATTAGCATTAAAATTAATTTCTGGAATTTTTTTCCAAACTTTCGTTGTTTACTCTATAAATATAAACCAAATCCAATTACCACATTTAATGTATCATTTTTTTTCAAAACTTTATTTTCAAAACTTTATTTTTTTTCAAAACTTTTTTTAGTTTACTATAAAAAAATACCTTTGCTTTAGACCCAGTAGGATTTGAAAACCAAAGTTTCGTATCTTACTGTCATTATCTTTTAACATGGCATAAAGAATATTTTCAGGTTTTAGGCACAATGCATTGTCTTTAATGTTTTTTTTAACAATATGTTTAACATCATTAAAGGGAGATTATTTATTCTAGTGATAATAGAAAAAATAAGGCGCGGGGATTCGTGAAATTTTGAAGATTTTTTTTATATCGAACTAGGCTGGAGCGTAAACTTGAACAATAAAACATAAAGTTTTTTTAAAGAAGCAGTTGGTTGATTGTCTCTAGTATACAAACAGAGAAGGCAAATAGTTAGACTTAACCACCTTGCATGGTTAAGCGGTCTAATTTTATAGGCGGCCCATTTATCAGAAACTTTACTAAAGCCTATTCCTTTGCAATATTCAAATAAAAGTTTTTGATCGCAACTTAGGTCTACTAGTATTTCTTTTGGAATATATCCATCTACAATTGGGTTTTCAATACGATTAAACAAAACTTGATTTCTATCCTGAATATTTTCAGCACATCTTTTGCCTAGTAGACCACTAAAGCTTCTTGGCCCAGTTGTGCCACCATCAAGTTTTACAAAAAGAGCTTGTAACGGAAGTTCATTTTGATGTAATGCGCATCCAATTAGATGTAGTTTTCTTTTTAAAAACTCTTCTAGTTTTTCTACTAAGCCACTTATTGGTCCAGTATTGGTAGCAGTATTATCAAGAAGAACAGCTTGTATACTTTCCAAACTGTTAAGTTCTTGTAAAACACTAAACGTTTCGGTAGCAAGAACTAAACCTGTAGCACCGGTGACAGGAATCGTCCTATGAGTCAAATAATTTCCACTCGATTTTCCATCTTCATAAGTAAATGTGAGTTGATGTTCAAGTTCAATGCAATTCTTCAGTACTTCTCCTTGAGGTAACTTTATTACTATACTTGTTCTAGTTATTTGATCGAGCTTGCTGTCAACCCCAAGACAAATTAACTGTTTTTTTTGTTCTGAGTCCACCTCTTCACTAACGATTTTTACTTTTGACTTGGCCCTATCTAACTTGCATTTGTCAATCAAAATATCTTTAATATCAACGTCATTTTTCAAGATGTTTTATGTCATGTAATAAAGCATTTACAAGGACTGCACCTACGTTTGACGAACACTCATTTCTGACTAATTCCATTGCAAATCTTGGAAGTTTAACTAAGTTGTATTTTCCAATAGGATTATTTACTGGTTTCCATTCACCTTCATCCTAAAAAGAGTTAATGAAATAAAACGCTTTCTGTTTTATCTGTTACAAATATTTCATGTATTTATAAAATATTTACCTCCGTATTGGTCAAACCACTTGTTTCTTCAATTAAGTTTACTTGTGCTATGAGGAATTCATCTTCATTAACTAGGTTATGAGATATTTTTTGTCGTTCTTTATCAAGTCAAGAAGAAAGTTGATATGCACCTTTTGGGCAAATTTTTTTCCTCTGATCACGAAGATAAGCTCTGTCTTCCAGAGGTACTTTATTACTTTGAGAACAAAGGCATACAATATGTTCTTTGATGCAATTTTCTTTATTACATGAAACTTTTCTGTCACTAAAGGAACACGCAAAAATATCAAAAAGTTTGTCCAAGTTTGCATCAAGATTTCTTTTAGCGCTTGCTTTTCCGTGCTTGCGATTAATATCCTTAACAAGTACGAAAAGATCTTTAACTTTCCTATTAATAGATTTGTCAGTTATAAGAGGTAATCTTGTGTTTACTGAAACCCGAATTGATTTTATATTATTGCTAATTTGCTGAGTCACTAATACGATATCTGCATTTGGATTTATATGAATAAGATAGTAATAATACTGAATAACCTTTTTAAAAGTGCTTGGATCTGTCATTGATAGTTCATATAAGCCGCCACAATTTTTTTTTTCACTTTTCATCCGTGTTGCAATTGCAACCTTTACTTTCGGTATTTTTGTAGATTAATTATATTTGAAAACTGTATTAAAGTATTACACTTAAAGTAATGGGCAACAGCGTGAGTTTTTTGTGGGGGCCAAAACATCAAAAAAATCTAAAATATCAAAACTTACTGCTTTGATAAAAAATAAAGAAATAAAAACTCTTTTGAAAAGATTTGGGGGCAATGAATTCAGGAAACACATGAATTGAGTAAAACCATTAGTTTCATTGAAAAGTTTTATATTTTAATCTACTTCAGAAATTGCAAATCAAAACTTATGTAAAATAAACAGTTTAAAACATTACTCTTGATATAATAATCATAAGTATTTACTTTTGATATTAAAAGATTTCTTTAAATTGCAGTTTTATTTTTGAGCCTACTTTTAAATAAATTTAACTTTAAAACTAACTTTAAAATACAAACAAGAAATTTAAATACAAAAAAGATTTGCTAAGTTTAAATGCGTGAAAACGATTTAGCGAAACTTTATTGGCTTCTTAAAACAATTGCGCTTGTTTATTGGTTACTTTATAAACTCAAAAAAGATTTATTTAATCTTTTGCTATTTTTAGAAATTGGTTTAAAAAAAAATTAAAATAAATACATATTTTTAATTTATCCTTTTATTCCCAAAAAATTTTGTTAATTAGTTATTATTTTGTAATAATAATTAATTAATTAATAACTTTAGCTTATAATGGAATCACATTTTATAAATATTTGGGCTTGTAGGCAAAAAACACACTTAAGTATGCTTTAAGTTTGGTCTGTTTTTTAAAAACTTTAACTCGTAAAGCGTTACTTAAAAAATAAAACAAAAATTAATCGCTCGGGACTCGCGTTGATTTCGCGACGTGGATGAGCGTTGTCATGGAGAAAGAGAACTTTGTGCAATTCTGGATGATCAGCTGAAGGCTTTTGTTTAAGCTTTTTTAGTGTAGCATAATAGACCTTTATTGTAACAGATGGGTTGGTAAGAAGCAGCTTTCATAATGAAATATCACATATGCATTAACGCTTGGGGGATTATGGATTTTGAGAGAGTGCCATAAGAGTTTTCTAATGCGTTTAATTTAAAAGAACTATTTCTTATGACTAGTACTAACAATTTCAAACCAACTTTTAGTACGTTTTATTGAATAGCAAAAAGGTACATATGTCTAAACGCTGATTTTGCTGATTCGAAGTCAAATCAAAAGGATGCCAAAATTTGTAATAAAAAATAGCCAAACTGATTCAGATAGCGTGAAATATTGAAAACAACATCCATAAGTTCACGTCAAACAGAGTGCAGTTTGCAGTCAATTACCTCTTTTTATTTCCTTATCCAACTCTAGAGGATGTCCAGGCTTAGATTCATTTTTTAACATGCAGTTATTGACTTCTAAACATTTGAAACAGTTTAGAATTGTAGCATGTGACGAAGCTGGAGGTACTACTTCACTAATATTTCTAGCGGCTTCTCTAGTAGATTTTAGTACTGATATAGCAAGCAATGTCTAATAATTTTTTAGAATTTTTTTTATAAATATTTGATAGTGCTAAATAAAAGATTGATAAATATAAAAATACACCCAATGTTAATATGGATTATATTAAAATTGCTTTACGTTTCATTTACTGTTTTCTGTTTGATAAAATTTATCAAAAAATTATTTAGATTTATATAGTAAAATAAAGTAATAATATTAAAAGAGTAAAAGTTAAAATAAAATAAAGCTAAAATAAAAGGTGTTTCCTAACTTTAAAATAAAGTTAAAATAAAAGGTGTTTCCTAACTTTAGTTTAAATGATATTTAATATCAATTAAACCAAAGTTAGTGACAAATTTTAATCCATAATATATTATCAAGTTTTTGAGAAGAATGACATGATTGAAGGAGTAAAAGGCTCAATAAAATTCTTTAATGATGAACAGTCACCTTTATAGGCATTAATCACACGAGTCTTAACTATTATTTGCTATCATTTAAATGACATTTTTTTAAACATGTTGTGCAACATAGTGTAAAAGATATTTTGCTTTGCTTAGGATACAGCATTTTTTTTTGTTGTTGTTGTTATTTAGGCGCCCGAAGAAGACCTAACGGTCTTGTCACAGATCACCACGGAAGTGCATTTAA